ATTGTTTATGGCTCATGGTAGTTGTGTGAGTCATGTGATTGAGGTTGGGTTTTGCAGGTCAGCTCTACAGGCTCGCCTCCTCCTGACTCTGGAGAACCATAAAACCTTCCAGAAATCGGTAAGCAGGAAAGGGTGGAGACCTAATCTGCATGTTTTTTATGGGGGTGTCTGGCCAATCCCAGGTTTGGAGGCCCTGGTAGAGTGGTGGACTGGCCTATAAATATAGGAGAGTCAGGCTGACAGGGGAGTCAGGTGGTAGATGGAGTGGTGAGGTGACTGTTAGTGCCTAGGAAGGGGTCCCCTTGGTCTGGGGGTGGCCGGCCTCTAGGCTGGACTCAGGAGAATACATTCTGTGGAGAGGCATGGATGGGAACAGGCCTGGAGTAGCAGGGAGCATAGAGGACAGTGTGAGTACAGCAGATCTACAAGGTGAAAGACTGCCACACATAGCAAGTTTTCTAAGGACAACTTTGCGTTGGATCCTTTATCCTTGTTGGAGGAGATCTTCTGAGAAGCCAGGAGGGCTGGTAGTGCTTGCAGGCTGTGGAGCTGGGAGCAGATCTGTAAGAGAGAGCTCTGCATGTAGCTATGAGAAGTGAAGTCATTTTTGAGGGGCTGCTAGCGCCTCTCCCGTAAGGGCAGCTGCTACTGATCTGCAACGACTGACGCCTTTCAGGAAAAGAACAGTCCAGAATCTGCTTTGTACATACGAAGGAAGTGTCCCCCTTCCATTGTTTCAAGTCAGTTTTGGCATCCCATATTCCCCATTTCCCTACCCAAGTTGAATTCCCCTAATAAAGCAACAAAGCCAGGTTCATGGACTGGTCACTGACTTTGGATGCAAGTCTGTATGAAAAATTAAATATTGCCTGGCTGTGCGGAGGGAAGCTTAAGGATTCCACCAACACAGCGTCCCCCATAAGGGTAGCGCTACACACATTACCGACACACATGGTTCTTGCATTGAGACCACAGTTGTGCTTGGAGTTCAGCTTGAAATAGGAACCTTTTGTCTAAAGGAAAAGTAGACTATAGGAGCAGTGCATCATGGGAACGGTTTCCTGAACCCGCCAGTGGAGTCCACCTCATGTATCCTTCTGATCAGGGGGGCGGACTGACCATTTGGAAACTTGGGCACTGCCCGAGGGCCCGGGGTCAGTAGGGGGCCCCATGAGATGCCCCTAGTACCTTTTTTCATAGGCTTTTTGAGTTTGGGCAAGGACACAGGGGCCCCATGATCCCCTATTGCCCGAGGGCCCCATGAGTTGTCAGTCTGCCCCTGTTTCTGATGCGGGTGACAACAATTCAGCACTGTTCCTGAATTCAGAGCAGAGTTGCCACTCATGTAGTCTGTACCTGCTTGCGCTATAGTGGGAAAAGATGTTTCAGCAGAGGGCATGGATATCGACATTGTCATTGCCGATTCATAAGCCTGTAGCTTGTCATTTAGCTGCTGACCACACCAGGTTCTGCCCCATGGATGACCCAAAGCCACAAAGCAATTTTGTTCCTTGCTGTTCCTTGGAGCTTGAACATAGACCTCAGATACCAGAGCTGTGGTTCAGAGCTGAGGCTCCTCCTTGGCTCTGATGTGACATAGCTGAGAAGGGAAGGATGGGGGGGGGGGGGAGAAGGAAAGACGGTCCTTGGCTCTTGTAAGTTGGGTGGGGACTTCTGCTGGGGAGGAGGACCTTTTCTTGTAGCATCAATAATGAATAATAAATAATAGATAAAAAAGAGCATTATTGATCCACCCATTATAGCAGGTCCTTTATAATAACAGTTAAAGAGGACTGACTCTCTCTCTCTCTCTCTCTCTCTCTCTCTCTCTCTCCTCTCTCTCTCTCTCTCTCTCTCTCTCTCCCTCTCTCTCTCTCTCTCTCTCTCTCTCTCTCTCTCTCTCTATATATATATATATATATATATATATATATATATATATATATATATATATATATAACACATATTTTATGTGGATTTCCTATTATATTCATTTTATATGAATTTTCCCAGTTTATTGATTTATTTTTATTTATTTTCACCTTTTTAATGGTTTTTTCTTGATATTTAAATAGTATTTTAGTTTTATTTTCTTTTTCATGTTTATGATATCTCAGGAATTTAAGGATATATTTTAACTTTAATCACATTCACATTTATTATATTTGATGATTTTAGTTTTCATGGTTTATATGTAAATATTTTTTTTATTAATCACAGGAGCGCTATTTTTTATTATTTATACTGCGTTATTAGCACTATTTATGAGTTGGTGTTGAGTGTCAGCGAACCAAATGTGGATTCATTTGTTTTAATTGATTGAATTTAGCACAACTGAAACTCACCATAGTAGCTCACAAGCACCATAAGCACTTTATCTTTTCTTGTAGCGATTAGCTCTATGCTGGGTGTAGGGGGTAGAGGTAGAGTTCTTGTGGGGGAGGGCTGTTTGCTGGGGGATATTTTCTTGTGGGGAGGAGCTCTTTGTTGGGGGGATTTTTTCTTGTGGGGAGGAGCTCTTTGTTGGGGGGGTATTTTCTTGTGGGGAGGACGACTTTGTTGGTGGATATTTTCTTGTGGGGAGGACGACTTTGTTGGTGGATATTTTCTTGTAGGATGAAGCTCTTTGCTGGGGGATATTTTCTTGTGGGGAGGACCACTTTGTTGGGGGATATTTTCTTTGGGGAGGACCACTTTGTTGTGAATTTTTTCTTGTAGGATGAAGCTCTTTGCCGGGGAATATTTTCTTGTGGGGAGGACCATATTTTCTTGGGGAGGAACACTGGGGAATATTTTTTTGTGGGAGGACCACTTTGTTGGGGGATATTTTCTTGTGGGGAGGACCACTTTGTTGGGGATATTTTCTTGTGGGGAGGACCACTTTGTTGGGGGATATTTTCTTGGGTGGGGAGGACCACTTTGTTGGGGGATATTTTTTTCTTTGTTGGGGATATTTTCTTGGGAGGACCACTTTGTTGGGGGATATTTTCTTGTGGGGAGGAGCTCTTTGTTTGGGATATTTTCTTGTGGGGAGGACCACTTTGTTGGGGATATTTTCTTGTGGGAGGAGCACTTTGTTGGGGGATATTTTCTTGTGGGGAGGAGCACTTTGTTTGGGATATTTTCTTGTGGGGAGACCACTTTGTTGGGGGATATTTTCTTGTGGGGAGGAGCTCTTTGTTGGGGATATTTTCTTGTGTGGGAGGAGCTCTTTGTTGGGGGATATTTTCTTGTGGGGAGGAGCTCTTTGTTGGGGATATTTTTTCTTGTGGGGAGGAGCTCTTTGTTGGGGATATTTTCTTGTGGGGAGGAGCTCTCTGTTGGGGATATTTTCTTGTGGGGAGGACCTCTTTGTTGGGGGATATTTTCTTGTGGGGAGGAGCTCTTTGATATTTTTGGGGGATATTTTCTTGTAGGGAGGAGCTCTTTGTTGGGGGATATTTTCTTGCGGGAAGAGCTTTTTGTTGGGGATATTTTCTTGCGGGGAGGAGCTCTGTTGGGGATATTTTCTTTGGGGAGGAGCTTTTTGCTTAAGGGATATATATTCTTGTGGGGAGGAGCTCTTTGCTGGGGGGGAGGGGTGTGGTTGCTTAAAGGAGAAGTGCAGGATATTAAAAGAACAAATATGCCTCCTCACCTACTGTAATCTACGGCGCGTAAATAACCATGCAAACATTTTTGCACCGAAAATACGATAGATTTTCTCTTTTTAGACCGTTAATACCAGACAGCGTGTGCTTACAAAGTGTGAGCTGTGTTCGCGAGCTGTAATGCTTAATTTTTTCCTACTTTTTTTTTTTTAAGTCCTATGACATTAAATCTATGTAATATGCACTGCCGCAGATTTTGATGTGATAGTCTGTTGGAATAAGATTTTTTTTTTTTTTTTTTTTACTGCACACCAACGCAGCACATGTAAATTGAAGCCACAGGATAGAAGGCAAATCGCCTTGTTCTTCTGCTGGCAATACTGCCCAACTCAGCCTAATGGTGCTGGTTGGGATAAGCCCTAAATCTGGCCAGCTTGGTCCGGAGGAGAGCGTTGCTGTGTGACTGTCCAGCAGTGGAAATCCTGGTTTTACTGCTGTAGACGCCTCTCCCAGCACAGGCGACGGAATGATAAATATATCGCACTAGACCCGAGTGCCTAAACAAATATTATCTCGCTGGAGATAATGTTAAATATAGATCACCCCCCAGAGATCTCCTGTCTGCTGTGATATAAGACTTTCTTCCTGTGCTTGGGTTTCGTTGGGAAGCGTGCATTATGTTCTCCGCAGGTATATTGGAACGTGTATTTTTCTAATTTTTGCAGGCTTCCACAAATTGTGGTATATTTCTGTGTTACTATATATAGATTGGCTGGATTCCTGTTTTAATACATTTTAAGGCGGAGAGTGGTGTATTTTAAGTACTCGCTCACTGAGTTATTATTGTACCCTGGAAATCACTTTGTTTGTCATGGCGTGCTGTTCCATACTGCATAGGAAGATTTGTAAATGCCTCCTATGTTGGTCATCTGTACACTTGAAACTTGGTGTAACTAAACCCACAGCAGTACAATCAGTCTGTATATGCAGTAAAGCATGCTTGTTATACTCACTGTGGAACCTAAGGGGTTAATCCTCTGCATTGTGTAAAGGGACGGTTTGATCCTGTTTTCTCTGATTCTCCCCATCGACTGTCACTAATCCATCTGCTGATAGCACAGAGCTCTAGGAGTCACGCTACACATGTTCAGTTTAGTGTATTGCTAGAAAGTTGTTTTTTTTTTTTTTTTTTTTTTCTTTGAGAGGGAGCATGTGATTAGCACAGGGCCTATCAGCGCTGCCCAAAGGGTCAGGGGTCATGCAGTCTCAAAGGACCGTCAGAGGAGAATGAAAACCCCTCCTATGAGATTAACTAGTGCTCAGTTGGACACTGATAAGTCACAAGGCTGCTATATACTGCTGATGAGAAAAGGTGTTTAGCAGTTTATATCTACTAAAATAATTGCATTTCCATTTTTTATGTACTGTGGGAGACCAGATATAGGGAATGCAGAGTCCTGGGAGACCAGAGATAGTGAATGCAGGGTCCTGGGAGACCAGAGATAGTGAATGCAGGGTCCTGGGAGACCAGAGATAGTGAATGCAGGGTCCTGGGAGACCAGAGATAGTGAATGCAGGGTCCTGGGAGACCAGAGATAGTGAATGCAGGGTCCTGGGAGACCGGATTTAGTGAATGCGGGGTCCTGGGAGACCGGATATAGTGAATGCGGGGCCCTGGGAGACCGGATATAGTGAATGCGGGGTCCTGGGAGACCGGATATAGGGAATGCAGAGTCCTGGGAGACCAGAGATAGTGAATGCAGGGTCCTGGGAGACCAGAGATAGTGAATGCAGGGTCCTGGGAGACCAGGTATAGTGAATGCAGGGTCCTGGGAGACCGGATTTAGTGAATGCGGGGTCCTGGGAGACCGGATATAGTGAATGCGGGGCCCTGGGAGACCGGATATAGTGAATGCGGGGTCCTGGGAGACCGGATATAGTGAATGCGGGGCCCTGGGAGACCGGATATAGTGAATGCGGGGCCCTGGGAGACCGGATATAGTGAATGGCCGGGGTCCTGGGAGACCGGATATAGTGAATGGCCGGGGTCCTGGGAGACCGGATATAGTGAAGGCCGGGGTCCTGGGAGACCGGATATAGTGAATGCCGGGGTCCTGGGAGACCGGATATAGTGAATGCCGGGGTCCTGGGAGACCGGATATAGTGAATGCCGGGGTCCTGGGAGACCGGATATAGTGAATGCCGGGGTCCTGGGAGACCGGATATAGTGAATGCCGGGGTCCTGGGAGACCGGATATAGTGAATGCCGGGGTCCTGGGAGACCGGATATAGTGAATGCCGGGGTCCTGGGAGACCGGATATAGTGAATGCGGGGTCCTGGGAGACCGGATATAGTGAATGCCGGGGTCCTGGGAGACCGGATATAGTGAATGCCGGGGTCCTGGGAGACCGGATATAGTGAATGCCGGGGTCCTGGGAGACGGATATAGTGAATGCCGGGGTCCTGGGAGACCGGATATAGTGAATGCCGGGGTCCTGGGGGAGACCGGATATAGTGAATGCCGGGGTCCTGGGAGACCGGATATAGTGAATGCCGGGGTCCTGGGAGACCGGATATAGTGAATGCCGGGGTCCTGGGAGACGGATTATAGTGAATGCCGGGGTCCTGGGAGACCGGATATAGTGAATGCCGGGGTCCTGGGAGACCGGATATAGTGAATGCCGGGGTCCTGGGAGACCGGATATAGTGAATGCCGGGGTCCTGGGAGACCGGATATAGTGAATGCCGGGGTCCGGGGAGACCGGATATAGTGAATGCAGGGTCCTGGGTTTAGTAACACTTTAAAGTGTTACTAAACCTGCAACAGTAAAATCAGTCTATATATGCAGTAAAGCATGCTTGCTATACTCATCGTGAAACCTAAAGGGTTAATCCTCTGCATTGTGTAAAAAGGCTGTTTGATCCTGTCTTCTCTGATCCTCCCCTCCTTCCGGTGATTACTAGCAGATGCCCAGTGATTGCCGAAGATCTGTGGAAGAATGTAAACAATACAGTTCTTCTCCTTGTCAGCTCCTGCACACTGCTTTGGATGGCTGTGCACAGCCATCCAAAGCAGTGTGATTACAGTGAAGCACAGACACACAGCCTAAAGTTAAACAGCACACAGATAACCCTTTGATCGCCCCACATGTTAACCCCTTCCTGCCCAGTGTCATTAGTATAGTGTCAGTGCTTTTTTTTTTTTTTTTTTGTTTATAACACTGATCACAGTATTGGTGTCACCGGGGATGCCAATGTCTCAGTCTGTTCTCCCCCAGTGTCAGAATGCCCACCGCAGTCCTGCAGTCTCGCTATAAGTCTCTGATCGCTGACATTACTAGTAAAAAAAAAAAAAAAATTCCAATATCTAGATTGCCATTTGTAAACACTAAAACGTACACGTAAACTATTTAATTTACACGTATTGGGATTTATTTTTTTTTTTAGCAAAGACATGTAGCGGAATACATTTTGACCTAAATTTATGATGACATTTTATTTTATTTTTTTTTTTTTTTTTTTTTTATTTTTACTGGAAATGTTTAATAGCAAAAAGTCAAAAATATTTTTTTTTTTCTCAAAATTGTTGGTCTTTTTTTTTCAGTAAAAAATGCAGAGGTAATTAAATACCACCGAAAGAAAGCTCAATTCGTGGGGAAAAAAGGACGTAAATTTTGTTGGGGTGCAGAGTTGTATGACCACGCAATTGCCAGTTAAAATAACGCAGTGCCATAATGCAAAAATTAGCCTGGAAGGGGGGTAAATCCCCAAAAGGGCAAGGGGTTAAATGTGCAAAAAAAAAAAAAGCTCTGGCATCGAAAAGGTTAAGGTAAAAAAACCTCCTGGATGCAGCTCCCCTCCAGCCTCCCCTTATACTCACCTGAGCTCGATCTTAATCCAGCGATGTGTACCAGAGCAGAGGCTCTCTCCCTCATTGGCTCAGAGACAGCTGCAGGAACCATTGGCTCCTGCTGCTGTCAATCACAGCCAGTTAGGCGGTGCTGAGCCCTGTTCTGTGTGTCTTATGGACACTCACAGTGCGGCTCAGGAGCGATCGAGCCGCATGAGTTCACCTAAGCAAGGAGCTTGCTCTGGGGGCACTTAGTGGGGGGGGGAGGAGCCAGGAGCATCAGCGGGGGACTTCAGAAGAGGAGGATCGAAGCTTCTCTGTGCATGCTTGCAACCAGGGGCGGACTGATCATTCGAGCACTCGGGCACTGCCCGAGGGCCCTGGGGTCAGTAGGGGGCCCCATGAAATGCCCCTGGTACCTTTTTTAAAGGCTTTTTTGGGTGTACTTTGAATGTGGGCAAGGACACGGGCCCCATGATCCCCTACTGCCCGGGGGCCCCATGAGTTGTCAGTCTGCCCCCCTGCTTGCAACCATTGTGCACAGCAGGTAAGTATAATGTGTTTGTTGTTTAAAAAAAAAAAAAAAAAAAAAAAAATCCTTTACAATCACTTTGGGTTTATTTGAGATTTTATATTGATTGGGTTCAGTACCCCTTTTATTATTGTTAATTGCACGTAGAGATGTATTTATAAAGCTTGAGCAAATCTGCTGCAGAAAGTAGTTTAATTATAACTTTTGGCGTTGTTCAGGAGCGAACGATAAGTGCCAGACTAGGCGGCAGTTCAGAGCCTTTGTACGGATTCAGCCAAAATGTGCGTTTTTTGGCTGAATAGAACTAAATTAATCCCGCGGCGTGTTTTCATTTCCTCTCCAGCAGTTGCTTTTTTGCCGCGAAATGATTACTTTACCGGCTTACGGAAGGTTGATGAAGTGGGGAAGGTGAAAAGGTGAAACGGCTATTGAGCGCAGAGGAGGGGAGGGCGTTTTTTTTTTTTTTTTTTTTTTTTTCCCAGAGCCCTGGGTTCAGTTATGACACATCAATGTGTCATAGAGGAGGCACTAAAAGCACATTCATCGCTGGAGAGACGCAAAGTGTCAGCAGACCGCTATCCATGTAAGTGTCATGCTGTTCTGTTCTCTGAGAAACGGACTTGTAGTTTGGCAACAGCTGGAGGGCCGCCAGTTTGACGTCTGTGGATTAGACGATCAACATGAATTTTGTTTGGATTTCAACTCCTCTATGGCCGGCCTAAAGTGGAGGTGAACTCCCACTGGAAACTAGTCCCTACAGATTATAATAAAGCTTGGCTGTAGGTACTAGGAATATCTGTTAAACGTCAACTGTTTAGGAGATATTCAGTGTCCCTGCAGCCGACGATGCCTCTGGTCCATGCACTCTGAAGGAACGGCATACCCATGCCGTTCCTTCAGAACTGTGTATTGCGGCTGAAACTCCCAAGCGTGTGCGTGGGAGTGATGTTATCGCGCTGCAGCCAATCAAGTGGCTAGAACCCGCAAACCCGGATGAAGATGGAAGCCCTGTCAGCAGGGACAGCGTGCGACTGGAGTGCTGCGTTCTAAGGTAAGTCTATCATGACATGCTAGTATGCAATGCATATTAGCACATTATGACATTATTTTGCAGGAGACTTTTTTTTTTTTTTTTTATTTTTTTTAGTTTTAAACCACCGCTTTAAGGCTCCATTCACTTTGACTACACATTATGACCCCATTCACGACTACAAAGTTGCACTGGAAATCGTGCGCGTTTCAGTGCGACTTTACACTCTCTGGCACGGTCACCTCCAAAGTAGTGCAGGAACCTTTTCAACGTCACTGCAACTTAAAGTCGCATAGATTTTAATGGGTGCCATTGACAACAATGGGCTGCAAATTGTCATGCGACTTTGTGTCCAAGTGTGAATGGAGCCTTGTAGCAAAGTAGTGAAATATTTTTTTTATCAGTATTGTAGGGGGAAGGTTAGAACCCACTTGTGAAACTCTGCAGCCTAAGGCTACTTTCACACTAAGGCTGCTGAAAAAACGCATAGGCGTTTTTACCGTGCTTTTGCCATGCTTTCTGAGCGTTGTTAAAGGACACGTGACTTAAAAACTGCACCAAAAATGCTTCTCAGAGGCGTTTTTCATGTGCCTTTCAAGTGTTTTTCAGGCATTTTCCATTGATTTCAATGGGAAGCGGCGTTTTTTTGGGGTTTTTTTTTTTTTTTTTTTTTTTTTAACTCGCCAAACATGCCCCCAAGGATGCTGCAAGCAGGGGTTTTTACACCGCTACGCAAGCGCAATGCCTGATTGTGAAAACATACATAGATATTCATTCATATACATAAGGAAATGTTTTTCTTGAGCTTTTCAGGCGCTTTTTTTTTATGCAAAAACGCTTCAAAACTCCTCTGTGTGAAAGTAGCCTTAGTTAAAAAAATTTTGCGGCTGCAAAGCATCTGGCTATTATTTTACACTTTGGGTGGGTGGCCAGATTTTGTATTTTATGTTCAGTTCTGTACCTATTATTCCAAGCCTTTCAGAACAGTCCTAGTTTCTTATGTGGCCCCTTTGGAAAATGAATTGTCCTCCCCTGGATTAGACAATTGAGAACTTCCAGCCTTGTGGTGATAACCAATTGTGGAAGATCGTTTTCTGTTCCAGCATGACGGTGCCCCTGTCCATAAAGACATAGATGATGAGTTTGGTGTGGAGGAACTCAAGTGTCATCTACAGAGCACTGACCTCCACCCTACTGAACACCTACCTGACACCACCAACGTAGTGGGTCACCTGCAGGGGCGGACTGACCATTTGGAATTTTGGGCACTGCCCGAGGGCCCGGGGTCAGTAGGGGGCCCCATGAGATGCCCCTGGTACCTTTTTCATAGGCTTTTTTTGAGTTTGGGCAAGGACACAAGGGCCCCATGATCCTCTATTGCCCGTAGACCCGATGAGTTGTCAGTCCGCCCCTGGTCACCTGACACCACCACCGTAGTGGGTCCCCCGACACCACCACCGTAGTGGGTCCCCCGACACCACCACCGTAGTGGGTCCCCCCACCACCTCCGTAGTGGGTCCCCCGACCCCCACCACCACCGTAGTGGGTCCCCCGACACCACCTCCGTAGTGGGTACCCCCGACACCACCTCCGTAGTGGGTACCCCCGACACCACCTCCGTAGTGGGGACCCCCGACACCACCTCCGTAGTGGGACCCCCGACACCACCTCCGTAGTGGGTCCCCCGACACCACCTCCGTAGTGGGTCCCCCGACACCACCACCGTAGTGGGTCAGGTAGCTGGTCTTGCCTCGGGTGCAAAATAGTCTAGCACTGGCCCTGGATGCATTCCAAAATCTTGTGGAAATCCTTCCTAGAGGAGTGGAGGCTCTTATAGCCACAAAATGGGGAGAGGGGAGCTTGAGGGGGACAGGCGCCATATTAATGGCCATGGTTTTGGATTGGGATATCCAACTGATATAGGTGTGATGGTCAGGTGTCCACAAAACAATATAACATTCCTATCCGTCACTGCTATGACCTGTGACCCATCTAAAGCTGGCCATACATTATACAATTTTCTTCAATTTCCTTTAGACTTTCCTTCCACTATGTAGTGCTAGGGCTTTCTGATTGCATCCAAATTGAAAGTGTTCAGGTTTGACCTTTATACTTTATGGTTTTGATAAATCTAAAGGATAATTGTACAAAAAAATTGTACAATGTATGGCCTAGGGCTAGGTTTACAACGTTGAAGCTGGGAATTGCAGTTTTTCCGGTACCTGCAATCAAAATGTGCTGTTCTTTATAGACGCGCGGGGCTGCCATTTATTCTTAATGCCCCCCCCCCCCGCATCTAAAACCACAGCACAGGTGCAGGAACCGCAGGGAAATCGCACGCATGGTGCAAAAGTACCATGCAATTTCCTGGCTACTGTAGTTTAAAAATGTTGCAAGGACCTTTTTTCCTTTGTGAACCAAACATAGCAGCCCATTCAAATGCAGCCCAGAGATAACAAGGGGAATGAAAGTGAATGGCGATAAAGTGATTAACATAGAAGCAAGAGGAAAAGCTTTTTTTTTTTTTCCCTTTCCCTTTTTCTAAAAAGCCTGCAGCTGCAATGAGGTTTCTTTATACTGTAAAATTACTAATGTATGAAATATAAATAGGAAAAGGTGGCAGATTTAGGATTAATTAGATTCGTGTCACATTAATTTTTTTTTTTTTTCTCTCTAAAGTCTAAATCTGTTTTTTATTATCATGTCGCCTTCATTGGTGGTTGACCTTTTAGAGCCGTTCACACTAGAACGCTGTGTGAGAAGCCACCACATTCAAATTGCACAGCATTTGCAATCTGCAGCAGATGTCAGTGCAACGTTAGGGACTACCCAAACACAGGTTGCAGATTCCGGCCTTTTTTTTTTTTTTTTTTTTTTTTTGCACTGAAGGAAAGGCTTTCTGTTTGTGTCAATGTGCAAAATGGATCTGAATGGGAGTGACCTTATCATGATCAATCAGCTGATGAACTTACAGTGTTCTAAAGGGATTCCGAACCTGCGGTTTTTCTTCATTAGAAGTGATTAACCCTTAGAAAGTATGTGATCAAAAATGAAATATTTCCTGCAGAGGATGCCTAAAATCTGACTTGTATCTCAGTGCATACTTCTGGGAAAATCAGTAAGCCAAACACACAAGCAGGAGATTGCATTTCACTGGGATTTTCTATATACAAAATGTGTACAGAACACCTCCAGGTTGCCATATTTCATTGAATTTTAGAAAAACTTTTCAGCACAGACTGGAAAATAAAGGTTATTTTAATAATCAATTGCAATACTCAATTGCAATATGGTTTATATATATATATAGCATTTATAATATATTTAAAAAATTTTTCTTTTATTTGTTGTATTTTATCTCCCGTCGACAGTTACCTTTTAAGGCTAAGAACTGGTAATCTGCACTATACACTATATTACCAAGGATATTGGTCGGCCTGCCTTTACACGCACATAAACTTTAATGGCAGTCTTAGTCCGTAGGGTTCAATAGTGAGTTGGCCCCGCCCTTTGCAGCTATAACAGCTTTAACTCTTCTGGGAAGGCCGTCCACAAGGTTTAGGAGGGTGTCTATGGGAAGGTTTGACCATTCTTCCAGAAGCACATTTATGAGGTCAGGCACTGATGTCGGGGGAGAAGGCCTGGCTCACAGTCTCCACTCTAATTCATCCCAAAGGTGTTCTATGGGGTTGAGTCAGGACTCTGTGCAGGCCAGTCAAGCTCCTCCACCCCAAACTGGCTCATCCATGTCTTTATGGACCTTGCTTTGTGCACTGGTGCGCAGTCATGTTGGAACAGGAAGGGGCCATCCCTAAACTGTTCCCACAAAGTTGGGGGCATGAAATTGTCCAAAATGTCTTGGTATGCTGACGCCTTAAGAGTTTCCTTCACTGAAACTAGGGAGCCAAGCCCAACCCCTGAAAAACACCCCACACCATAATCTCTCCTCCACCAAACTTTACATTTGGCACAATGCAATCAGTCAAGTACCGTTCTCCTGGCAAATGCCAAACCCAGACATGTCCATCGGATTTCCAGACAGAGAAGCGTGATTGGTCACTCCAGAGAACACATCTCCACTGCTCTAGAGTCCAGTGGCGGTGTGCTTTACACCACGGCATCTAACCCTTTGCATTGCTCTTGGTGATGTAAGGCTTGGATGCAGCTGCTCAGCCATGGAAACCCATTCCATGAAGCTCTCTATGCACTGTTGTTGTGCTAATCTGAAGGCCACATGAAGTTTGGAGGTCTTTAGCTAATAACTCTGCAGACAGTTGGTGACTTCTGCACATTGTGCGCTTCAGCATGCGCTGACCCCGCTCTGTCATGTGACGTGGCCTACCACTTGGTGGCTGAGTTGCTGTTGTTCCCAGTTGCTTCCACTTTGTTATAATCCCACTAACAGTTGACCGTGGAATATTTAGTAGCCAGGAAATGTCACGGATGGACTTATTGCACAGTGACAACCTATCACGGGACCACGCTTGGAGTCACTGAGCTCCTGAGAGCGACCCATTCTTTCACAAATGTTTGTAGAAGCAGTCTGCATGCCTAGGTGCTTGATTGTATACACCTGTGGCCCTGGAGGGGATTGGAACACCTGAATCACATGATTTGGAGGGCTGGCCCAATACTTTTGGCAATATAGCGTATTAGTTTTTTTCTTGGGTTTGGATGTACACAAGGGAGGAGATTTAGTAAAACTGGAGCACTCAGAATCTGGTGCAGCTGTGCATGGGAACCAATCAGCCTCTAACTTCAGCTTGTTCAATTAAGCTTTGACAATAAGGCTAGGTTCACATCTGTGCGGGTGGTGCCGCTGCGGATCCGCATGAAAATCCATGCATCCGCACAGAAGAATGCGGACCCCATTCGTTCTAATGGCACGCCCCCCACCGCACTGGAAAACGCAACCATACTGGGAACCAAGGTTCCCGTGCGGGCTGCGGTTTCCAAAGAAGTGCAGGGACTTTTTTCCCCACGGGGCACGGGAGTCCATTCAAAACGCACGGACGCATATATGTGAACCAGAGGTAAAACCTGGAAGCTGATTGGTTATCTTGCACAGCTGCACCAGATTCTGTGTGCACCAATTTTAGTAAATCTCCCCCATAGTGTGTGTGTGTGTGTGTGTGTATGTATATTTATATGTATACTTATATTTATTTTTATATATATTTTTATATATATATATATATATATATATATATATTTGTGTGCTATTTTTTTTCTTAAATGTTTATTGTCCTTTCTTTGAAGGAACCACGGGCCCTAATGGAGATTTGAAAGCAGCCTGCTGAAGCGCTGGAGAGAGTATGGTAAAACACCAACCGCTACAGTACTACGAGCCTCAGCTGTGCCTGTCATGTCTGACTGGGATCTACGGTTGCCGCTGGAAACGGTATCAGCGGTCACATGATGACACCACTAAGGTAAGCGGGGGGTTCATGGAATATTTGCATTTTCTGACATTGTTTTTTTTTTCTTTTTTCCGTAATGGATACATTGTGAAATAATTAAAGTGGTTGTAAACCTCAGACATGAAATCTGAACAAAGCACATATTTCTATCATGTTTACTTGCCTCTCTTCAAAGCACTAAGTGTCATTTCTCTCTGCTGTCTAGTTCCTCTGCTGGCAGCAGGAATCACTGCTGACTTTTCCTGACACCAAGAGCTAGGGGAGGGTCCTCCAGCAACACAGCCTGTGGTTAACAGCCTGAGCTTTGTTCCTGTGTGCTGTATGAAGGAGGGTGTGTCCCTCCCCTCCAATCAGCTCTCAGAGCTCTTGTACTGTGTGTAAATGCAGCTCTCCGCCCCTGGCTTTTTGAGTCTTTGAAAAATCTCTTGAGTTTTAGAAGGATGTACAGGACAAAGGGCTGCAAATAAACAGGTACAACTTGTGTAAGAGGATTTGTTTTATCACTTGAAGGCAGTCACTTCGCTGGTATATGTAAGGCCCCATGTACACGGGACACTTCTGAACGATGGAAACTGACTGCTGGAAAACGTAGGTTTAAAAAAACGGCTGTTTAGCCCCGTTTCCTATAACACGTTCATGCGCGTTTTGTGTTTAGAAGCGTCTATTAAAGATAAGCACAGAAGAACCTCCTAAATGCCCAGAATAGTGGTAAATTATTAACTGTTTCAGAGAAATACAGAGAGTAGAAGCAGAGACAGCAGTATGTGTGGAGATTAGTTTAGGTGGGAGTTGCTCATTAACATTTCTTTTGTTTCCAAGGGTGGGGAAGGTGTCTGGTGGACAGAGTCATTAAGGCCACCTGGCAGGGGGTCTTCATGAGGAATTTGAGGTGTGAATGGTCATTAACATATCTTTTGTTTCCAAGGGTGGGAGAGGTCTGAGGTGTGAATTGGTCATTACAATGTGTGAAGCTTTGTAATGAACAAATTTGGTAGGAACATCCTGTGTTCAGTGTTTTGTCCATTTGAGTACCTTGAAAACACATTGCATGCATTTTTCATGATGAAAAAAGGCTCCGGACAGCATCGGGAACTGGAAGAGTTTAAAAAAAAATTTCAAACGCTTATAAACGCAATTTGCCGTGTTTACAAGCGTTTTCTGTTTAAAAACGCTGATAAAATTGACTGCTGAACACAAGTTTTCTGTGTTAAAAAAAAAAAAGACTGTAAACTCAAATGCCTGTAAACGAAGATGTGTACATAGACACATAGGAAAACATTAGGGAGAGTTCAGGAGCTGCTGAAACAAAACGCTGAACAGCTCCTAAGCGTGAGTTTATCAGCTGCAGTGTACATGAGCCCTAATGGTTTACAACCACTTTAAACATTTCCATCACATTTAGATCTGTGACCCCATTTGGGGAGAATCTCGCTTCCTGTCCCTGTGTCGGGCAGCGGGGTGAGAAGTGGTTGTCACCAAGAAAGAGAGCAAAAAAAAAAAACAAAATATATCAGAGATTCTAATTCTTCTCCACTCTGTGTTTTTCTTTGTGTCCTTGTTGGTAATTCACAATTACAGAGGGGTTGGTGAAGGATTTGGTTGCATGACACAAGTGTGGAACATACCATGTGATGGCATCATTGAATTGTATTGGGGTTGTGTGACATCCTAGAGGCCGCGCGGTCTCGGTGTGGTAAGGTAATCCTATCCTATGCAGTCCTAATAATGTTAGCATAGGAATGCCGTAGAGACCGGCTTGCTTACCGGAAGCTCTTGCGGATTCCTCGGAGATTTTAGGATGTGAAATGGATACATTGTATCTCTGCACACTCATCACATTCCATGATGTATAGCGGAGCAGAAGCAGGATAATGTTACAAGTACGCTGCAGCCAATGCATTCGGAGCCAACCCTCCCACACTGTCGTCTTATGGCCTGGTGTAATGACCGATCGGATACATTAGGATCTCTAAGAGCACAGCGTGCTGTCATAGAAAATGAGCGATGCTTCTTTATGCGCTCTTATTTTAAGGCCTCATTCACAAGGCTGTGGTGCAGCAATTATCTGTACTGTGGTGCTGGTTTGTAGGGGTTAAAACCGAAGATGAGGAGGCAACATAACACCTCCTTGCTGCCTGTCAAACACCATGATGCCTGTGATCCACCATGGGTTGATGCCACCATGATGCCTGTGATCCACCATGGGTTGATGCCACCATGATGCCTGTGATCCACCCTGGGTTGATGCCACCATGATGCCTGTGATCCACCCTGGGTTGTTGCCACTATGATGCCTGTGATCCACCCTAGTTGTTGATGCCACCATGATGCCTGTGATCCACCCTGGGTTGATGCCACCATGATGCCTGTGATCCACCCTGGGTTGATGCCACCATGATGCCTGTGATCCACCCTGGGTTGATGCCACCATGATGCCTGTGATCCACCCTGGGTTGATGCCACCATGATGCCTGTGATCCACCCTGGGTTGATGCCACCATGATGCCTGTGATCCACCCTGGGTTGATGCCACCATGATGCCTGTGATCCACCCTGGGTTGATGCCACCATGATGCCTGTGATCCACCCTGGGTTGATGCCACCATGATGCCTGTGATCCACCCTGGGTTGATGCCACCATGATGCCTGTGATCCACCCTGGGTTGATGCCACCATGATGCCTGTGATCCACCCTGGGTTGATGCCACCATGATGCCTGTGATCCACCCTGGGTTGATGCCACCATGAGGCCTGTGATCCACCCTGGGTTGATGCCACCATGAGGCCTGTGATCCACCCTGGGTTGATGCCACCATGAGGCCTGTGATCCACCATGGGTTGATGCCACCATGAGGCCTGTGATCCACCATGGGTTGATGCCACCATGAGGCCTGTGATCCACCATGGGTTGATGCCACCATGAGGCCTGTGATCCACCATGGGTTGATGCCACCATGAGGCCTGTGATCCACCATGGGTTGATGCCACCATGAGGCCTGTGATCCACCATGGGTTGATGCCACCATGAGGCCTGTGATCCACCATGGGTTGATGCCACCATGATGCCTGTGATCCACCCTGGGTTGATGCCACCATGATGCCTGTGATCCACCCTGGGTTGATGCCACCATGATGCCTGTGATCCACCCTGGGTTGATGCCACCATGATGCCTGTGATCCACCCTGGGTTGATGCCACCATGATGCCTGTGATCCACCCTGGGTTGATGCCACCATGATGCCTGTGATCCACCCTGGGTTGATGCCTGTGATCCACCATGGGTTGATGCCTGTGATCCACCATGGGTTGATGCCACCATGAGGCCTGTGATCCACCATGGGTTGATGCCACCATGAGGCCTGTGATCCACCATGGGTTGATGCCACCATGAGGCCTGTGATCCACCATGGGTTGATGCCACCATGAGGCCTGTGATCCACCATGGGTTGATGCCACCATGAGGCCTGTGATCCACCATGGGTTGATGCCACCATGAGGCCTGTGATCCACCATGGGTTGATGCCACCATGAGGCTTGTGATCCACCATGGGTTGCTCTTCGGAGGGCTAACACTAAAGAAATAGTTTTTTTTTTTTTTTTGGCGTCTTTGTGTATATTAGCAGTTCGAAACAAGGTCACACAAACAATGATCCACACCAAAATTGAGGCTACCATTTTAGATTCGGTCCCTAAGTTTGTCAACCTGGACCCCATGGGTGGAACGTCTCCTCCCACCAAGCATCAATGACTCGCTGCTCCTTCCTTGATGTCCTCTAATCCTGTATCGTGATAGAGCTGAGAGCTGCGTTTTGCATTGAACTGGTCCCGAATTTTCTATTCTCTTCTGGAAGTCACACGCCCTTTCTTTCTCTCTCCCACTCTCTCCATCAGTCTCTCCTAATCTCCCTCCCCCCTCTCTCTTTTTTTTTTTTTTTTTTTTTCTTCTGTCTGCTCACTTTTTTTATTATTATATTATTATACAGGATTTATTTAGCGCCAGCAGTGTGCTCAGCGCTTTACAATATAGGGAAGACAATACAGTAACGATACAGTTCAATACAATGAATGAAGCAGCAGACTAATAAGCTCATCTCTCTGTCACTCTGCTCTCTCCCCCTATCAGCATGCTCTCTGCACTGCAGCACACTCGATTCGACTGCTTCTCCCTCTCCCATCCCTGCAAAGCAGGGAGAAAAAAAAACTAAGAATTTTTAGTAAAAAGCAGCACACATTGCACACTAACATTTGTTAGGCACACGTTTAACCCCTTGATTAGGATTAATATACAGGATTTATATAGCGCCAACCGTTTTCAGCGCTTTACAATATAAAGGGAGACAATACAGCAACAATACAGTTCAATACAAGAGGGATAGGAGGGCCCTGATCCTTGAAACTTACAATCTAAGAGGGAGGGGCTGGTGGTACAAAAGCTAATAACTGTGGAGGATGAACTGATAGGAGGAATAGAAGATTCTGTTATTAGCTGAGGGCAGGATAGGCTTCCCTGAAAAGATAGGTTTTCAGAGATTGCCTTAAAGTGGGCAGAGTAGTCGGTAGTCGGAAAGATTGGGGTAGAGAGTTCCAGAGGATGGGGGAGGCTCTGGAGAAGTTCTGAAGATGAGCATGGGAGGAGGAGACAAGGGAGCTAGAGAGTAGGAGGTTGTGGGAGGCGTGCAGAGGACGGTTTGGGTGATATTTGGAGACAAGATTAGTGATGTAATTTGGGGCAGAGTTATAAATGGCTTTATATGTTATTGATATTTTGAATTGTATTCGTTGGGCAATGGGAAGCCAGTGGAGGGATTGGCAGAGAGGGGTGGAGGACACTGAGTGGAGACCAGTGGAGGGATTGGCAGAGAGGGGTGGCTCGAGAGGAGAGCCGGTAATTATCGGCTTTCCTTGGAGGGGACATGTATCGTTGCTGTATTGTCTTCCCTATATTGTAAAGCGCTGAGCACACTGCTGGCGCTAAATAAATCCTGTATAATAATATAATAATAAAAAAAGTGAGCAGACAGAAGAAAAAGATCATCAGAGCATTGATGATCAGTGTGCCCTGATGATCTGTGAAGCCCCAGCAGTGCCACCTATCAGTGTCCATCAGTGCCACATCAATGCCACATTTCAGCGCCTTCCAGTGCACATCAATGCCACTTATCAGTGCCCATCTGACCTGCCTTTCCGTGTCACCCATCAGTGCCACCTATCAATGCCTATCGGTGCCAGTCAGTGCCGCCTATCGGTGCCAGTCAGTGCCGCCTATCGGTGCCAGTCAGTGCCGCCTATCAGTGCCATATATGAATGATGCCTGTCAATGCCCATCAGTGCCCATCACTGCAGCCTCATTAGCGCACATCAGTGAAGGAGAAAAATTACTTATTTACAAAATTTTTATAACAAAAACTAAGGAAAAAACTTTTTTTTTCAAAATTGTCAGTGGTTTTTGGTTTAAGAGAAAATAAAAAACCCAGAGGTGATTAAATAGCACCAAAATAAAGCTCTGTCACAAACAAATGATAAAACTTTCATATGGGTACAGTGTTGCATGACCGCGCAATTGTTCAAAGTGCAACAGCGCTGAAAGCTGTAAATTGGCCTGGGCAGGAAGGGGGTATAAGTGCCCTGTAGGCGAGGGGCTAAAGAGGTTTTCAGGGATCGTCTAAAGTTGGATAGATTAGGAGACAGCCGGAGAGATTGGGGTGGAGCGTTCCATAGGATGGGAGAAGCTCAGGAGAAGTCCTGGAGGCGAGTATGGGAGGAGGTGACACTATGTAAAAAATATACCATACGTGGATAAAAAAAAAAACACTTGCGTAGTAATTGTTTTATAATTTTGTAGATCAAATTGGTTTTTTTTTTTTTTTTACCGGCAAACACTTTAGCCCTCTACTCTTACTTGGTATTGGGGAACGTAAGGCGACTGCCAGGCGGGGGGGTTCCTGGTGCCTTCTCCTCCTCTAGGTAGTATTAGGACCAGTAACTTGCTGTCGGCTAAGGTGATCTAATTTTTCCAGTGAAGCCGAAGTTGTGTTATTAGCCTGGTCTCCGGGTCTTGGCTGTGCACACAAAACCTCTTTCAGGAGGGCACTTCCACTCTACATAATCCCTTCTCTGTGCCCAGCTCAGTGATAAGAGTCCTGCTGGAGCCCAGTCAATAAAATCACTGACAGACAATCTGTTCACGAAGAGAACATCTTAAC